TAACAGTTAGGCCTAATTAATTTCTGAAGTCAATCACATACAATTATATTCATACAAGAAAGCAACATATAATTATCCACTTTCTCGATGAAGTTGTATTTTATTTTACTCTAAAAAATGACATGAGGGAATGACAAATGTAAAAAATTTTACCTGGTTTGATTCATTCAAATTTATTCCACAGCAAAGCTTCTTTAAGTTGAAGATGGAAACATACTGCAATTTTGTTCTATGATGCCAGTTGTTAACTGCTAAAGTTTTTATTAAAATATTTTTATTCTAAGAAGATTGCAGGAGATTAGAACATTGCTGTGAGGGAATGACGCGAAACACTGGGGACAAAGTTTAAAATAGTGCTGTGTTAATACTTTTATCAGAAATTAAATTTAGAAATGATTTTCTGAACTCCATATTTCAATATTCTGAAATAAAAAACACGAATTTGTAATTTTTTTTATTTTTATCACAGAAACAATTTTCTCTTTCTTTAAATCAACAGTGGGGACACGTGAGGAAATGACATATTGGTATATTTTAATTACCTAAAATAAATAAAAAAATAAAAATTGATGATTTTATTTTTTTTTTGTTAGCCTGCATTCTGAAGGACACTTTCCCTATATATATATAGTTGGAGAACTCTTATTTAAAGGTTTTAACAAAATTCAAAGTTTATAATTGTGAAATGTGGCTATAATTGTGACTTTTTTTTTATTATCTTCTATTGTCTAGCCTAACTAAAAAATCCACACCAATCTCCTAATAAATTAAAAAATATTTTTAATTGGAAAATTTGCTTCTCAGCCAAATAATTTTTATCTTCGATAAATATTGTAGTTGTGTTATTAAATAATCTAACAATAAAAATCTCGATCATAAAAAATAATTTCAAATGTGTTTTAAAATTCTCCTTTTTTTCTTACAGCAATATATATCTTTCGATAATTTATATACTAATATTATACTATTCATATTTTGATATTTTACAATAAATTAAGCTTAATAAAGTAATGGTATACTTCCAAAATAAAAATAATTTTCTTTTTCTTTTAGCGAATTCTACCAATATCAAATATTCTTTCTTTTATCGAAATCTTTTAATAAAGAAGTAATTCCTATTGCTGTTGTTATTCAATTAAAATAAAGCTTATTTGGTAAAAAAAAACTCAATAAGTCCATAACTAAGATTAACGAAGAAGAAAGAAAGAAAAGGGATTAGAAGCTGACTTGTCAAATTCTCGTTGACAAACCATTGTAATTGTACAATTAAATAATCTAACAATAAAAATCTCGATCATAAAAAATATTTTAAAATGTGTTTTAAAATTCTCCCTAATTTTTCTTAAATCAATGCATGTCTTTCGATAACTTATATTCTAATATTATACTATTTATATTACATTATTTATATTTTGATATTTTACAGTCAATTAAACTTAAATAAAGTAATGGTATACTTTCAAAATAATAGAAAATGTTTTTTTTTCTTTTAGCGAATTCTACCAATATCAAATATTCTTTCCTTTATCAAAATCTTTTAATGAAGAAGTAATTCCCATTGCTGTTGTTATTCAATTAAAATAAAGCTTATTTGGTAAAAAAAAACTCAATAAGTCCATAACTCTAAGATTAACGAAGAAGAAAGAAAGAAAAGGGATTGGAAGCTGACTTGTCAAATTCTCGTTGACAAGCCATTGCTCCTATATTTTTTGTTTGAGAACAATAGGTTATTCCTACAGTTGTGTTTGGAGCGACACTAATTGTTAGAAGATCTGGGGCTTCTGATTCACTTTCAAGACCTAGCAATGTCATTTGAGCTTTTACAAATGGATCTCTCATTAATCTCTTCACATTTGGACTGAATGTAGGTAAAAATAAGAGATCTACGCGTATATCCCAGGGGGATTACCCGTCAAGCTAGGATCGATATGAACGAGTTGGTTCGTTCCCTTGGCAACAGATTCTAGCGAAAAGCAAACATTAATGTAACAAGAAGAGCCCTTTTTCTCTTTTGTACTTATTCCTACTTCTTGTTTTCGCCAAGTACCTTAGAACAAAACTAATGTTTACCAGAACTTAGGACCTCCAAATACTTTGGTGAGTTTATTCCTTTCTGTTATTTATTCTCTGCCCCTATACAAAATTTTCCTTTTTTCCGTCGCCAACACATCCAAAGCCAAGCTAATTTCTGTCTTGTCTGTTCCTGCCAAATGTGCACCATTAAAGAGGCTACTTGATTAGCCATTCATAAAGTCAGGCTGCCTTTTACCACTGTTTTATAATGAAGTCCCAGGAAAAACCCTTTCTTTTCATTTTGTTCTGGAAATGGAATGTTTTCTATCTCTAACGAGTACTTATGGGAGAAAGATGTATGCAAACGTCTACTCTCAATCAGTATTCCTACTTTTCATTAAATAGTTTTACCAGTACAAGTAACTTGAAAAATAGTGTTAGAAACACAATAGGGTTAGTGTTATAAACACATTTATTAGCAAAACAGCAAAAGCGAAAATTATACAGTAAATTAGAAAAAAAAATATTATTGCCATTAAAAACCATGGTTTGGCTATGAATTAGTCTGTTATATTAAATTATTTATTAGTCGAAACTACCAGAATATGGTTAAATTTACCGTGTTTCTTGCTCTATGGAAACACTATTGCAATTTTTACCGATGTGCTTTGGTAATGAATTTGGAGAAATTAACATTAAAAAAATATTGTTTTATATTATGTGTTTAAATTTATGATTGTGGTAAAATTTGATAATTTTATTATGATAACTTAGACAATTGTATAAAAACCCTTATTTGGATAAATATACTTTTCAGTTTTGTATATTTTACTAATGGTAATAAGAAGTATAATTTTGAAAAACAGAATTTCATGTAAACGGTCGCCATATAAATAATAGAACTACCAAATGAATGGTGTTACTACTGTATATTTTGTTTTATTAACCTGTTAGTGCCCAGTGTCATATTTATTGGACAGTTTCCTTTTTCAAAAACATATATTGCGGTAAGACAATTCAAGTTTGTCTTTTATCTAGGAGAATTAAAAGTTTCCATTCCACCATAATTTCTTAGTTATTTAAGTTTTTATCACTAGATGTATAACTATAACGTGCAGGGACATTTCGAACGGAAATGGTAACAAATAGTTTATATTAGCCATTTAGTTGAATAACATATTATACCACTTTCTTCATAAAGTCACTTTTCGCGTCACTTCAATTTAAAAAGTCGGGATAAAACGGGTAAATAGGAATTATAGTTCATTTTTTTACTGGAAATGTCATTACCATGCAGTAAGGTATTTTTACTAAAACTCTTATCTGTGCAGCATTACAGGATGCACTTATTAACACTGCTCGTGCAGGATGCCTTACTTAAACTACCATATAATCAAGGTCTTAATGCACAATTACGCTTCACTAGTCCTCTAGGAGCACTGACGCAAAATCTCATTATTAAAAGAAAACTGTAAGTGGTCATAATAAAGTTGCTTTATTGTAAGCAACAGCACTTTGACACAATATTTCATTCGAAAAAAAACTGTAAGTGGTCATACTAAAGTTGATTCTTACTGTAAGCAGCAGCATTTTGATTAAAAAAACTCATTAGAAAAAAAAACTGTAAGTGATCATAATAAAGTTGCTTCTCATTGTGAAAGCAACTTTGTGAAAGAAAATTAAAAGCTTTTTTATTAAATAAGTGGTATAGAATATGTTAACTAAGGATTTTTTTCCTAGAAATATCTTTACCGTACGGTTCGGTAATTTTACCAGAATTTGTTTTTCACCGTGTACATTTTAATCATAAAAAAATTCTCAACGTTAAATATTTCTGAGTTTCCTAAATTAAAAGCCTTGAAATTCTTCTTCAGAGAAGAAATTTTTCTTAAGAAAATGATTCAAAGTTTATATTTCTATCCTGTTTTGAAAAGCAGAACAACCAAAATAATGTTGCTTTTAAAGCTGGCTAAAAACCATCAAAGGTTTATCCAATTAAATTTAATACAGACATGAAAATTTTTAGAAAATTTACAGTTAATTTTTCTAAAACTACTTTTACAACGTTTTTAAAAGCACATTTATAAGCATAATAAATCAAACTCTTAAAATATTATACACATTCTTATAACCTTCATGTTACAAGCATACAAGTATACATAATTTGAGAACATACAAAAATTTTAAGAATTTAGAATCTTTCATCATTTAGAAACTTGCTTTGTTTTTCTAAAACATCATCAAAAATATTTTAAAATTTTGAGTAGATAATTTTGATAATTATAAAAACACTTGTAAATAAGTTGCATATTCTGCCAATTTTTTTTGTAAAAGCTGATGATTTTTATAAACGCAAAATTGCAAAAATTTCGAAATAAAATTTGAAATGTTTGTTGAAGTTGAAGCATTCTTAAGACCACTGTATTTAAGATAAATAAAAAATTTTAAGTTATTTTTTCTCCAAGTTACGGTATTACTTTTAAGATTTTAATTAGTTCTTTTAAACTTTTACAATAAGCGTAAGAAACTCTGACAAATCCTGATATCTGCGTGGATTATAAAATTAACCGTCTGTGTTCAATAGTTTTACATTAAACTCCTCTAACTATTACCATAATTTGGATTAATATGCTAGTAATTTTACAGTACCTTGTTTTCGCTTATAAAATAGAAACAATTCACGTAAATAAAGTTTAAAATTAAAGATACAAAGTATTATTTAGACTTTAAAAAAAACTTATGTTCCATGCAGACGCATTAAAGAAGCATATTTCAAGATTAAATGCGTTTTTTTTTTAAAAAAAAAATTTCTTGTGAGTTCAAGAACTATTTAGGAAAAATAACTTTAGCAATTAAATAGAAACTGCTTTAAGAATTTAATGTAGCGGATTAAAAATTATTAAAAAAAAGATTTTCTCTCCCTGTTAAAAGCTTAAATGATAAAAATTAGGATCTTAAAAAAAAAAAGAAAAAATTTATAATTTACAAGCTTTACTATATCTTACCCGGAATATGTTTAGTTTTCAAGCAGTTTTATTTAAATATGAAACTAAAATTAAGGTTAATCAAACGGGTGAAATAATGTATACATTGTAATAAAACTCTTTGTAATTATTCCAGAAGGATTAGCATAGCTTTCTAAAATATTCTTAACTATTCAAACAAAATAAGTAAAAACATCGCTAAACATAACTAGTGTACTTATTTTTGAATTTTGTTTAAAAATGTTTCCTACTAGGTACTGAAGCAAAAAAGTCAAAAAGTAAAGATATTTAGAGCTAAATTTTTAAATTAAAAAAAAAAACAATTAAGCACTCTTTATTCATGGCATGGCATTGGTTTAAAAAATATGTCATTTATGACTATTCAGTAACAGTTTCAAGTGGAATTTTCTTTAACGTTTAATGCTGAGCTCTTTTTCAACCCATTATAAATGAACTTTCGTCAAACATTAGTAGTTGTTCATTATGACATGCACTGTTAGAATTTTTATTCTAAAATTATGGTAAAATGACAGACAGCATACTGTCCCTCCAATCAACCGCAAAGTTTACGGTAACGAGCATTTTTTTACTTTTACGGTTTTAAAACCATTTACAACTAGTATGATAAAAAATCATGAATACGAAACTATATGGTTTCAAACCATTTACAACTAATATGGTTTCAAAACAGCAAAAATGCTGTAAATTAGAGACAGTTTGACAACTCTATAGTGCTGCCATCTATTCGTGAAAGAGAGTATAATATTCTAATAGCCCAGGATCATAAATTGGGAAGTACATGACAATGGAATCTCTTCATGTGTTGAAGGGAATGAGGGAAATATTCATCTTCAACACTGGGGCTCGAACCCTCGTTCTGTCTGTCATGAGATTGACAGATTAGCCCATTTGACAATAATATGTAATATGTAGGAACAAATTGGCTTTGTTAGGGGGATCTAGTTGGTGTGATAAAATTCTGGTTGCTCAACCGCATCAGGTGAAGGCAGTTAATAAAATTTTTTCTCACAGTTAACAATTTGAATACCATCTTATTTAGGGGTATTTGACTGTTTTGTTTGAATATGGTTAAATAACAATTAAATAAATTGCTATTTAACCACTTTTTCCGAGAAATTTCAAACAGTGCAAATGCAAAAATTAATTGTTTTAATGTATGTTTATTTGCTAGAATAATAGTAAATAAATAAATAAAAATTCCTATTGTATGTTCAATTTTGCTAATATTTCTAGTAGAAAACGTAATGGACTTGTCTTGTTGTTTATTATGATGCATATTATAGTTAAAAATATAAATAGTTTCAAAGTATATTTATTGAATAGAATCAGTTAAAAGAATAAATATGCCAGAATATTATTTCAATACAGTATATAGAATAAACAGAATCCCAAATAAAACAGTAGCAATCAGACATCAAAAAGAGCAAACAATAAAACAACAGAAAAATTACTCATAAAAATCGATCTATTCTCATAAAATGTTGGCAACATGATAACTTCAAAGTGAAATCTAAAATAAAGCAATAAAACTTTATTTGAAGAATCAGAACAAGACTATCACTGCGATGATTATCTGCGACTAAAAACTAGACAGGATTTTTTTTTATAAGAAAAGTCCTTTACCAAGAAACAGTACTCGACTTTAACACTTACGACTACACAAGGGATTTAGACTCTCCAAATTAAACTAAATAGAAGAATTTTTAGATCAGATGACCAAAAATACTTATAAAGGGAAGATATTCCTGGAAATATTTGAAGTCCTGCGTTTCGATGAATGAGTTTTAGTCGAACTTACAATTCTCAGCAAAATAGAAAGCCTCTACCAGTATTAAATCCGAAATTGAAGAGAGTAAGAAGAAAAAAATAGTGGAAAATGGGCTTAAATGCTTGAGGAAATAGAAAACGAAATCTTGTGAGCTCAAGCGATAGGTTCCACCGGGGAAGGAAAGTTTTGTGTTGTGGAGGGTTGGGTTTTCGAGAGCTTTTTTTCGAAAATAGTGATTTAGTGATAAATCTCGATTGGAAAATTCAGTTCAGATGTCTAATCTTTGAATGATGAAGAAAAAGTATCCAATA